AAGTCACCATAGTCTTATGGTTGTCATTGGGAAAGCCTTTGTTTGACCTAACTGTAACATGACCTTTGATAATATTTCTAGGGAATCTCGTACCAGGCAGCAATTTTTTTTTAACGTAAATTATTCTACTGGATAGAAATAACAGATAAAATTGTGAAGGGGAGGGAGTTGTTTCGAAGCTGTTCATTTTTTTTGTTTTTAACCTAATGACAGCCCACTAAGGTTAACCAGTCTTAATATCTGGTCTGTTAAGTGGATTAATTCAAATTTGTGCTAAGGATTTTAATTGGTAGAAATAAAACTCTAGACAATTTTATTTAGGGTCTAAATTATTTTGAAATCCCCAGTAGGGTAGTTTCTTATCTTTTGGTTACATTTTAGGTCGTTCAAGCCCTCAGTTAGACCCTTTGAGAAAAAGCCCAACCATGGAACAAGCAGTGCAGACCGCCTCGGCCCACTTACCTGCTCCAGCACCTGTAGGGAGAAGGAGCCCTGTATCAACCAGGCCTTTGCCATCTACCAGCCAAAAAGCAATAGAGAATCAGGAGCACAGGAGAGGTAAAACTTCAGCTGTTTACTGTTCCTTAATTGACTGATCAATGTTTTCCACTCACTTTATTTTCATTAAAAGGGTTTACTTCAGATGAATGATCCCAGAAAATTAAACTGAACGTAATAGAATGTTTGGTCTTTCAAATTTGATTCAAAGTATTAGTGTTGTGGGTATAGATTTTTGGGTATTGCACAGGCTTTGTTTTAGGTTTTTCGGTTTGTTTGCTTGTTTTTATTTCTAAAGTTTTTGATTATGTTTTTGATCATGTGCCTGAGTTGATTTGGCACTTTGCATGTCTTCTATAGCTGAAGTACACAAAGTTTCAAGGCCAGAAAATGAACAACTCAGAAATGATAACAAGAGACAAGTAGGTAAGTTCTTGGATCTGAAAGTCATATTCTATGCCTCTCAACAGGGAGAACGTTTTAAATGTATGATACGTAATTACTATAAACAAATGAAAGGCAGGGATTGTGACTGTAAAGGAGGAGCACAGGGGAGTGTCACTGTGGTGACAGAACAGTTCTTTATCTTGATTGTGATGGTGGTTGTACAAATCTATATATGGTAGAACGTCATAGAACTATGCATAAAGACATACCAAAAAATGTGTACATGTACAAACTGGTGACATCTGAGCAAGGTCTGCAGTTTAGTTAATTAGATTGTGCCTGTGTTGGTTTCTTGGTTTTGATAATATAACATAGTTATACTTATCACTGCTAGAGTTTGGGAAGTTGGGTTGATGGGCACAAAGGACCACTCTGAACTAGTTTTTCCATTTTTTTCTGTCTATTATTACTTTAAAATGAAAAGATTTTTTAAAATTTTACTTTTCTGGGAAAAAATTCCACTTAGTGGTAGGCAGTTATCTTTTAATACATTCTTGAGTATTTCCTGTTAGTAGGGTTTCTTCATTTATATTTACATTGTTCTACTTTTGTGGTTCTTATGTTTTGTGTCAGTTTCATGTTAGGGTTATAAAATTGATTGTTTTCATTGTTTTCTGTGCTCTGGGGAATGGAATTATCTATATGTTACAAATTTGAAATGTTTTCTCATTAAAATTAAGCCCAGAGGCTGGGTGTGGTGTCTCAGGCCTATAATCCCAGCACTTTGGGAGGCTCAGGTGGGTGGATCACGAGGTCAGGAGATGGAGACCATCCTGCCCAATATGGTGAAACCACATCTCTGCTTATCTGTTTTATAATATATAACATTCCCAAATATTTTATTAATATTTTCAAATCTATTAATGGAAAATAAATTGTAATTTTAAAACTCTTCCAAATTAAAAAGACGGATATAATCGCCTTATTTAGAAAGTGATTGAAAAATGACCTTTCATTTAATTTTGGAAACCTAGATATATTTTTTAGATGTATAAATACTCTTATTTCTCCTCTACGTTTGTGGTTTTTTTAATATTCTGTACGTCATGGAATACAGAATTTTTTTTAAATTTGACTCATTTCAGCTTTTTTATTCAGAAAAAGAGAGAGCTTCCCTCCCAAAATAAAATAATTGCTATACTATCTTTCATTGCTCTTCAAAACTCACCCCACCAAAGAGGTTCATTAACAGAACAGTGAATAATCTTCCAGATTCTTTTGTAGATTTTACAGACAGACATCTATACCTAAAACATTTTTTTTAAGACAGAAGGATTATGGTGTAATTCTGGCTTGTGGCTGAGGCATTTTTTAATAGTAGAGGTGAATGTTTTAAACATCCTGCTTATCTAGATGTATGTCTGGGTATGCTGCTATGGGGTTTTGTGGTTTGTTGTCTCAAACCCAGGCAGCTTGCCAAACCTCAGCAAACAGCACAAACCTGTCTGTTAACCTGTAGTCACTTCTCATCCTATGTGTGGAGCATTTCACACAGTTGTGATCATTAAACTCATACTGCTTTCTGCTCTACATTTTTCAATTAACATAAAATATTCTTCCTGGTTTTTTTTTCTTGTTAGTCATTTCTCTTGGATATTTGGGTTCCCACGTTTTTCACTATAAATTATGCTACTTTGTATTGCTTTATCATGTCTCATATAATTGGCTGAAATCTTACTATGTTATAGAGAAGAGAATATATAGATACAAGGCTTGAATAATGTAAAACCATCTAGAGGGAGACAGTAAAGATGGAGTCACTAAGGAAGGGTACTTGTCTGTTTTTTTAATCTGTGATATGGAAATAACACCTATTTTCTTGCAATTTGTGCCAATTAGTGTTCGTTTATTTTTCTTACTATAAATCTTGATTTCTGTTATTCTTTCCATCAAAGGCTTTCTATATTTTGAGAACCAACTATGTGTCTGGCACTTAGTTTGCAGGTGTTGGGGATATAGCAGTAAGGAAAACAAAGCCTCTGCCCTCAAGGAGCATACATTAATTTAGTGCAGAAGTCTCCACACTTGCCTGGCTGTATACTCTGTCAGTAACACATGTGAGTGTGGACTCCATAAATACAAATGTTTAGAAATTTTGTGTGAGATATTCTCAGTCTACATACTAAATTTTAGTGAAACTTAATTTTATATAAAAAATACAAATACAATAAAATATATAGAGACCTGTAAGCATTTCTGTTGTTGACTGTTGAATCTAAAAAGCACAATAGCAACATCTGTGCTAAACCATCTATTACATATTGAATATCCTTTGTATATATTCTTTATTATCATAGCTCCAGGTGCTCCTTCAGCTCCAAGGAGAGGGCGTGGGGGTCATCGGGGTGGCAGGGGAAGATTTGGTATTCGGCGAGATGGGCCAATGAAATTTGAGAAAGACTTTGACTTTGAAAGTGCAAATGCGCAATTCAACAAGGAAGAGATTGACAGAGAGTTTCATAATAAGCTTAAATTAAAAGGTAAGCTCTGATTTTTCTACTCAGAAAGTAATCTTATTTGATCTGTGAATTATGGATGTTTCTCAGATTAGGTGTTTAATTTTGTATAATTCAGATTAACTGTCTTAACTTTTATGATATGTACCTTTGTTTGTCCTTAGAAGATAAACTTGAGAAACAGGAGAAGCCTGTAAATGGTGAAGATAAAGGAGACTCAGGAGTTGATACTCAAAACAGTGAAGGAAATGCTGATGAAGAAGATCCACTTGGACCTAATTGCTATTATGACAAAACTAAATCCTTTTTTGATAATATTTCTTGTGATGACAATAGGTACAGTCTTTAAAAGTGTTCTTTTGTTCTTGTGATGTTGATTGAAGTATAAAATGGTTTCATGTAAATTCACAAGGTTTAATGAACACTACCATAATTGTTTTGTTTTGAGGCAGTCTCACTCTGTTAGCCAGGCTGGAGTGCAGTGATGCAGTCACAGCTCACTGTAGCCTCAAATTCCTGAGCTCAAGCAATTCTCCTGCCTCAGCCTTAGTAGAGGGGACTACAGTTGCACACCACCACACCCGCCTTATTTTTTTCATTTTTGTAGAGATGGGGTCTTCCTTTGTTGCCCAGGCTGGTCTTGAACTCCTGGCCTCAAGCAGTCCTCCCACCTCAGCTTCCCAAAGTACTAGTACTAGGATTACAGGCATGAGCCACGACACCTGGCCATAATTGGTTTTGTTTGTTTGTTTGTTTTTTTGAGACGGAGTTTCATCTTGTTGCCTAGGCTGGAGTGCAATGGCACAATCTTGGCCCACCACATCCTCCACCTCCTGAGTTCACGGGATTCTCCTGCCTCAGCCTCCCAAGTAGCTGGGATTACAGGCATGCACCACCACGTCCAGCTAATTTTGTATTTTCAGTAGAGATGGGTTTCTTGGGTTTCTCCATGTTGGTCAGGCTGGTCTCAAACTCCCGACCTCAGGTGATCCAGTCACCTCGGCCTCCCAAAGTGCTAAATTATTCATTCAAAAGAAGAAATAATCATATACTTTTATTTAAGGATATATTCATATTTGAATATTAGTAATTAAAGCAAGCATTTAGTTAATGTCTAAGTATGACATTTTCTTTCACCCCTCTACATTGTAGTTCAAATGAAGCCAGAACCAAAGTGCTAATCTACTTTGAAGTTTGCTGATACTATTAAAAACTGCCAGATTGTAGTAAATGTGGGTCCAGAAAATTGGTAAATTATTGAGAGGTTAATTAAAGGACCCAGTGCAAGGAACAGTTCTAGAGGTTCCCCTGCCCAATCCAGATTGTCCTTGTCCTTGTCCTGGCTGAAGTTTGGTGCCCTCTGGTGGCAGTTGTTTACTTCAGTATAAACGTGGTTGGAGATATCTGAGTCCCACAATTGGCTGGACGACAGCCGCAACAATTCAGATACTTCTTGGGTTCATTGGCATTAGATCCAGAGATTGGGCCAGCAGCATAATGGGGACCCAAGGGCCCATCTTCCATCTCCTAGCTTCCTGAGATAAGGTCTTCCTGTCTGGCGTTGTCTTCCTTTTTCCCTTGGGACTGAGTGGAAAGCGAAGTCAGTACCAATCTCATTTTATCTGAATTTCCATTATATTGGGGCTGTTACTATGTTTCTTTGTTTTATCAGGTGTATTTGCAAGAAACTAATATCAGTCATGTGTTCACATGAAGTTTAATAGAATATTATAGGAACATATTGAACTCATATGCCATGAACAGCTTGTGACAACTTAAATGCTTATTTCTAATTAGCTTTAGGAATTATTTAGCCTTAATTTGGGAATAGTGTTGCATATTTTGGCTGAGTGATGTTCTTTTAAGCCTGATATGCTGAAGATTATTTGCTTTTATAATAGAGAACGGAGACCAACCTGGGCTGAAGAAAGAAGATTAAATGCTGAAACATTTGGAATCCCACTTCGTCCAAACCGTGGTCGTGGGGGATACAGAGGCAGAGGAGGTCTTGGTTTCCGTGGTGGCAGAGGGCGTGGTGGTGGCAGAGGTGGTACCTTCACTGCCCCTCGAGGATTTCGTGGTGGATTCAGAGGAGGTCGTGGGGGTCGGGAGTTTGCAGATTTTGAATATAGGGTAAGTGTTGTTCTTAATAAATGCTTTGGGGTTGACATGCATTTTACAAGACTCAAAACATTTTTACTTGTTTTTTGTTTAGGGTGAAATTTATTTGAGGACATTAGAGTAACTTCCATTTTGACTTTTCAGTAGAGGATATACTGTATGTGATTTAGATTTGTTGGCTGATGAACCTAAAAAGTTTTTTTCCCAATGGTTTTCTTCTCAATTAAGGAAGTAAGAGCTAGGTGTGATATTCTTTCTTGTCTTTTTATT